AAGAACTTTGACACTGATATAGAATCACCGAGGTTGGACGGTGATCAACAAGAACATGCACGCCGTGCTGTCCCAAGAGAGTGTGCGAGCCTCAGCTGCCAGGCGAAGGCACACGGCACTCTTGCTCTTGCGTCTCTGGCTTGTGACTCTCGGATACGAGGTCCTGGCACTGTGCCACTTCCTCTGCCAAGCGGGAAGCGGCCACGGATCCACCGGAGAGGCGAGCAAAGCAATGCAGTGGGGCAGTTTGCAGCACTTTGCAGCCAGTGTGAGACCCATGCCTTCTGAAGGCAGACACCTTCCAAATGGCGGGTGAGATTCTGGTGGCTCTCGCTGCCTCGCAGGCGAGCTGCAGCAGAGTAGCGACATGCTTAGAATATCATGGACAATCACCAACCACCACTGCTAGCTGAGGAGCACCTCACCATGGTCCGGGCAGACCTCATGCGGGTCTTGGCCGATCTGGCACCGGCCTGAGAGCTGAACCTTGAAGGGGGAAGCCCGCGTCCTCACCCCGCGATTCCTCTTTAGGTCACCAACATCGAAGCGGACTTGGCCAAGTGCGAACCTGGCTCGACGGATCCTTCCACCATGGAGACGCGACTGCTGCGCCTCGTGCGCACCCTCGCCGAGGCAGGTCACGTCTCGGAAACGGATCTCCCAGACCTGAATCACGGCACACACACACACGCACACACGCACACAAGGAAGGCCCTAACGAATCCTTCCAAGCCTCGCCTGAAAAGCGCTGGACAGTCGGTCCCAATGGTTTGTATTGACTGGTACCAGTGCAGTTTTGGGCAAGCGCTGACCATGTCGGGGTACAGGGTGGTCAACAGCTGGGGTTGTTTCAGCAAATTGAGCGCTTTTGGCTTTTGTCGTTACAAGCCATGTGCGCTCTGAGCAGATGGCAGGTCTTCAAGGAGGCCGCGAAAGCCAGTGCGGATCAGGAGAGCTCCGGATATGCAGCCGACAAGCCGCGCATGTGCCTACAGTGGGGCGCTGAACTCAACAGCGCCCTGAAAACGAAGCTTCTGGCAGGAGCTTAAGATCGAGGACTTCCTCGGGGAAGCTCGCTTGGAGGACCTTTGGACATCGCTGGCGGGTGGCCCAGCTTCGCGCCTTTCCATGTCATGGACCAGTGCCTGGTGCATACCACGTTGTCGTCGCATAGGGGCAGCCTTGCAACGACCCCGTTGTCCATTTTGCTCACTACCACCACTGCCCATACAGGATGTCTAAAGCAGATGAGAGTTGTTGAAATCGCCGAGGATCAGACCTTGGACCGGCTCCACGACACAGAGGCACGGGTGATTAGATTCAGCTGGAAGACTCGTCGGTTCAAGCGAAAAAATTAAGGTGTTTGCGACACCGGCACAGCGCATCCTCTCCACTGGGGCCTGGCTTCCACGCTTGCAAACTCGGATAGCTGGGATTGGATTGCTGTTCAAATTACTCTCAGCAGTTCTCATCACAAGCCAGGTTGCGCCTTCCCAGCTGCGGATTGAAAGCTCCACCGGATCCAGCATGAGTCTGAACCTCAGACCGCTACAGCTGCGATTAGCAAACATGAACATGAACCCATAGAGCAGCTGCTCGGTTGAAAGACTTGCAAAGCGTGGCTGACAGGTGGAACTTTGGCATCGAATGTCCAGACAACTCCTCCGAAGCCGCTGCTCAACAGGCTCAGAGAATTGAAAACTTCGCTTGCTCAGTGACTCGGTGTTCGTGGACTGAAGTCCATCCTACATGATCATATGAGATGCTGTGCAGGCTGCTGCCATTGATCGAGGCGAGATGTGCGAGGTGCATATAGCGTTGCATTGGGTCTCTGCGCTCTAAGGCATTCTTCGTGCTTCACAACGGCTCCAAAGAAGCAGACCTCGAAGCAAAAGATAAGGACACGACCAAACCGTCACTGCTTCCGGCACCTCGAAGCGGAAACAACCACAACGGATTCTTGCTTGCTGCTCGTGTGTCAGGACCAGAAGAAGGCCCACGAACAGGAGGCGAGGAGTTGGGTGGACTTGGCTGCATGGACTTGCAACGAGCACGTCTGTCCTGCTCGGAGGGTGGCTCATCCTCCAGCTGTCCTGGGAAGCAGGTCTTCGCGGACCTTATTGAGGCAAACTGCCGGCAAGTGACGAGCTGGAGCAAGACGGCCAGAGTGCATCGCAGGTGACTTTGGTGGAGAGGAGTCGATTTGGCCAGTCGGGGCCCTCAGTGTTGCGGCACCTTGCAAACAGCCTCGGCAAATAAACCGATGTCAGCATCCAGGCAAGCAGGTCAGCATTCCGTATAATTTTTGTTAGTGTGCATGCGGCACACATCTAATGGCATGTCGGCTTGAGCGTTCTACATGTGGAGCTTCCCTGCCAAGGTTCTGCAAGCAGCATCGGCGTCCGCTGAACGCCTTATCCTCAGATTCTGGCACGACCCTACAGGCTCGTTGTCAAGACAGCGGGTCAGATTCTACAGGCCTGGTTTGCTCAGGCATTGATCAAGCAGACTCCCTCACTCTTGAGCAAGTCCTTCTCGCCTGTGCCGCTTGGCTTTGTGCTGCAGCTGGCGGTGCTGCATTGCATCGTATTATTTCCTTTGCAAGGTTGAAGCACATGCCGCACTGCCTGGACTTTGACAACAAGCGGGCTTACTTCCGATCTCAGCTGAGGCCAAAGCCAGGCTTTCTTTTGCTCTTCCTTTAGGGCGAGAAGCTGGCAGGTCCAGGCGGATGGAGAGCCGCTATGAGACTATTCGCCTTCGCGTGAGGCCTGGTGTGGGAAGCTTTGAGCGAGAGCAATGAACGGCAAGTTGCTGGGTAACAGCCGGACTGCTCAAAAGTGTTGCGACTGGCCGAAACAGGCGGTCTGAGATCTTCATGGATTCTTACCACCAGCTGCCAGGCACTTAGTATACTTGCTCCCAGGCGCGCCACGTCCGGTCGTATGTCACTGTGACGTAGAGCTTCATGCGTCCATAATGCACCTCTTGCCCAGGAGGAACAGGACCGGTGAAGAAATGCGTGCGAAGATCCAGGCAAGCAGCTAATTAGTCTGCCGCTAGTGACGAAGTTTCATCACCCATACAGATGAGCAAGAGCCCCGTGAACCGCAACAGAAGTTAGGGCAAATGCGACATGCCACCACAAGCCCCAAGCCTGCTCGGCCAAACAACTGATTTGCGACGAGATGACGCAAGGGGTACCTGCTCGATTCCTCACTGCGGGTTGTTTGCTTTTGTTCACCGGCTGTTTGAGTTTGCCCAAGTCACGATTTCGTGCAGACCTTCGCCGTCAGCCTCTACCGTGTCAATTTCTGGTAAGCCGATGACTGTATCTGCCCTGGTTGACCGGACAAAAAAACTCTTTGCGAATCATCACGGGCTCCAAGGTACATGCTCAAGCCAGTCACTGGACAGGATTACTGAAAGGACACACACACACACGCACACCCCGTCAAACACGCCTTTCTCAGGCCAGGGCCTGTAGGGTCTCGACATCACCTGCTTGAGAGGTGTGGCTTTTGGTTACATGCATCTGGAGACTGGAGATAGTCATTGTGCAATCTGGCTATTCGTTCCGAGGGGCTGTGTAAATCGGTCGCAGAAGTCCGTTCAGTTTTGGCTTACACCGGCTTACACCGGCAAGCGTTGCCTCCAGTATGGGTTCGATTGAATTTGCAGCAGCAATCTCTCGCCTAGCCGCCCCTTTCAAGGCGAGGGTTCCGCTGTCAAAACGAGCCATGCCATGATGTTGAACAGTTCTGCTGCTAGCTGCTAGCTGCTAGCTCGATTTAGATGCCCGTATGGTCTCGGAACTCGCTGCAGATCAAGACGCATGAGCGCGGCAGGTGCAATTCCAGGGCGAGGAAGGCCATGGACTCAGCACCATCAACCAGAGTCTTGAGGTCCATGATTCCATGATGGTCCATGTCGACCTCAAATGAACGACAGCTTGGGCATCCACCCCAGCAAGAGGACCGCTTTCCCTTTGACTTGCAGCAGGAATCGATGCTGGCGGCGTTGGAAAGGCCGCTGTGTGTGTGTGTGTGCTTTCGTTGGCCGCAACAGCCACAGGCTTCCTCGCTTCCCGCCTGAAGATGCCCCCACCCTTCCCAACAGCGGTCCTGATTCCTGTAAGTTCCGGTCCTTCAAACTTCAGGCCGGCAGTGCCCGGCAGGGTTCGTTTCGGGGCCTGAGGGGATCGACGTAAGAGACGAAAAGGTCGTATCTTCCGCGAGCACCCATGCTGCGAAAGTCCAATGTCTGAGCGCCGAGACTGGCAAATCAGTTTTGCTCACATGGCAGGAGTGGTATGGGGCCCTTGCCAAAGAGATTTTCAATCCCAACTATGCCAAGAGCTCAGTGGCATCGCGGCAGGCTTCAAGCCTCCAACACGGCGGGTGTGCATGACCGCGCAGCCCATGCTGATTGAGAGTTGATACCGGTGACCAAAGTTGTTGGTCCCCCGACTGATCTGGTTCACCCAGAATGTGGAACAGTTGAGGCACTTTTTGTCCAAGCTGGCGGCAAAGCCTGCACTTACCACCCGAACCCGATGCTGGGGCCTCATTGGCTGTAGCAGCACTGTACCACCAAGAGCATCCCAGCTGAGATCCACAGCTCATGTCGTCTGTTGAGGTCCTACGTGACGAGAGATCATCTAGACTTCTTCCACTTCATTGGACGGGTGATTGGCAAAGCGATCCATGATGCTCAGAACTTGGAGGTCCGCAAGCCAAATCACAGTCGTGGTAGAGGCAAATGTCGGCAAAGGTGGTTGCTTCTGTGCCAGGCCTGGTTTACTCGTGGCTTCTACAAGCACATGCTGGGCAAGAAGGCCGCACCACACCCTTGCCAGTGGGTTCTACGGTGGTGAACTGGTTCGCTCTCACATTCTGCTTCACTCTGATTGCAGCATCGCGTCACTGTCTGAGTCATTGCGAGGTCATCGCTGCAGATCTAGAAGCTTTTGATCCGGAATATTTCTCCAATCTCAAATGGATGTTGGAGCATGCGGCAGCCCAAGTTATTCAATCAGACAGAAGAACAAGTGTCCGGCAGCACTGGTCCAAGATAGTCGAACGCCTCACCTAAAACGTCTGTCATGTCAAAAGGCTTGTGCTGTGCCCACAGTCAAGCTTGCTAGTGGCGCCACATCTCACTCAGGACATCACCGACATCATCGAGCTCTACTTCTGTGCAGAAAGTGATGACTTTGGTCAGATCAAGGTTGGGTCCCTGCCCATGGGGAAGTCGTAGTCTGAGCTCAGTAGATGAATGCGCGCCGCCGTTTGTAAAGGCGGAGCCACTGACAGAAACTGCAACCTGGATTTGTATCGTGCGGAAATTCGGTGTTGTGACAAGGTGGTCGACTTGAAGCCGAATGGTCGCAGCATGCAGCCCGTCTGCAGTTTTGAAGTGGAATGCTGCGGGGTGATAATGCTAGACAGGAGTCTTGGTAACAAAAATATGCTCGACAAAAGGCTTTGCAGTCCAGCGGCAAGGCACTCCGGAAAGGATACCTGGGACCAAATGAAGATCTAAGACTTCACTTCGAAGCTGTGGTCATCACAAAGATGGGCTTTCCCGCTATTAGTACGAGCTTACAACTGGCTGTAGGGCGTATCCACAGAACCGCACCTTCTCGTCAGAGTTTCTCCTTCGGAACTCAGCCGTGCTGAGTCCTGTGACCAACGAAAACAAGTACGAGTACATCCAGCTCATGTCAGAGCACAAGATGCCACGACCTTAGGTGATGTCGCAAGATCTGTTTTTGGCTAAAAGGCACAGAAGTCGCTTTGGTCACTGAGGACGAACTCTGTCCGGCAGCAGATTGATGCTTTCTTGAAGGGCCTGCACCTTAGAATCTTCGTTGCTCTCAAGCTTCTGCTGTGAACTGCGAGCTCTGGGTCCCAGAAACTGCGCCCGAAAGCAAGGGATATCATGGAACATTTCAGGCCTGCACGAGATCGTGCCACCCGAGCTGCTGTCGCTATTTGACGATGCTCCGGCAAGTTTAATGGGTGGGCAACATTCGCAAAGCAATGAGGACAAGCTCAGATGTCAAATTCGGCTCATGTGGCAAGTGACTGGGGCCAAGCTGAGGACAAGGAGCTGGAACTGCTCATCTCGGGACTGCCGGACATCGACATTGAGGCGGGAGAGCTCGCCATCCGCGCGCACCGCTCCGAAAGCCTTCTTGGAGGATCTCAAGGCCAATACGGAATACCACAACTACACGGCCCAGTCTTGGCCTTGGTCGCCGAAAGCCCCATAAGCACAAGCAAGAGATGACAGGGACAAAGGATGTGTGTGTGTGTGTGTCGGTCTTTTGTTCAAGGTCGGACCAGATCCAGTGGCTAGCAGCTTATAGAGGACTTGAAAGCCGCTAGAAGTCGGCGAATCTGGAAAGTTCTGAGGTTTTGGAAGGTGCTCAGCGAATTCAGTCAAGAGCAAAGGGCATGGCCGAGACCCTAGCAAAGCGCGAACGATGCTCCGTCTGGGAAGGGATGCTACCCCACGAGCTTCTCCACCTGACTTTGAAGTTGCACGCGCTTTGTCAGGTTCCTTCAGTTCGCGACTGGAACCTCTCGTGTGCCTGTGGAAGGGTTCAAGGCCGCCCAGTTCCTTCTGCGGGCTGTGTCGGGCAGTCCGAACACTACCTCGTCCATGCGCAGGGTCTTGTCGGAATGCGTGGACCACAGAAGTTCTGCATCCACCGAGCCTACGGTCCTGATCGATTGCCTTCTGTCTTGGGCTTGGATTACGTTGCCGCTGTGCATTACGACTTGCATCGCACGTCTGGAGAATCTTCGCGTTGTTCAGGCCCATACGTGCTTCAATCAGCCAGGGGCCTGGACGAGCCTGACGGCGTCTTGCTCTTGCAGTCTTGCCGTCGCAAAGCCAACCTGAATACCGCCTTAAAGCCCTGAAAGAGAGCAGCGGCCGAGGCTCGACCTTCCCGACTATCCCTCGGAAGAAGTCCTCCGAGAAAAGCTGCTCCAGGCAGCCCTCAGCCGTCTCTCAGCCCTTTGGATCTCAGCCCTTTGGGATAGCTTCTCCTGGCACCCGACTCTTCGAAAGCTAATAGGGCAGACGGCATTCTGCCATGATTGTCAGCCGAGAAGTTTCTGTGGCATTAAGAGCAACGAATTACATTAACGAGAAATGAGATGGCCACTAAAAACGTTTACGGAAGCAAATGTGGCCAACAAGTTGATCAAGCAAGATGTGATTACGAGCGGTTACTGTAGCGGTGTGTGACGGCATTCTGTGTGATGCGAGACTGCGACGTAGGATGGCTGGAATCGGGCAAAGTTGACACACGCCCGAAGATATGGTAACGTTCATGCCGTCGCTTGCGGTCTTGTTGCGAGGTCCAGGTGTCGTTGGTATGTCGCATCAGTCCCAGAGTGCAGCAACATGCAGCACTGTAATATGAGTGCGCGATGTACCCTGCAGGCGGTCCACGAAGGCCACGAAGGCTTCGGCTTTGCCTGAGGCGGCATAACAGCCCGCCGACCTAGACAGTTGATGACCTGGAACCAGAGTAGTGTCATTAGCAAGATAGGTGCTTGCCTTCACCAACCCTGCTACACTCTGATTCCGGGAGTTTTAAGCCGATGGAGCGAGACAGCGATACAGCCAATACACGCAAAGTGCAGAGTAGGAAGCACTTCATCTTGCCATCTTGCTGCAGAAAGGTTCAAGTGCAGTGGTGGAAAACTACGAGCCCGAAGAAGAGACGGCAGCGCCGCTGCAAGCAATTCTCACCCTTTACGAAGCTTCAGTGAAAGACCCTGGAGTCATCACGCACATAGATGACATAGCCAATTCGACAGCACCTGTGGAGATGTCCAAGCTCTGCAGTCCTTCACAGTTCCTGCACAAACCGCAGGATGTGGAAAGTTGAGCGCGACTGCAACCGTGCAAGTGGCTTACGAGTCTCAGGCAGAGTAGATTTATGTCGTCCTTGTCATTCACGGGTCATTGAGTTCATTCAGTTCATTCACTCGCATCCCTGTGACCCTATCTCAATCTGATCGAACGCATTTCTTCTGTGCAGTAGCCAGACGTCGTGCACAACCTGGCTGCTGACAGGGACTTGGACTTCCGAAAGGTCCAAGTAGAACAGGAGTCAAGCAGGCGCCGTTGAAAATCGCCGACGTTCCTGAGATCTTGACACTGATCCATAGATAACGCGGTGAGTTCAAGCCATCCTAGCATTTGAACAAAGCCTTTTGTTCTCAATCAGGTCCTGCTTGCATAGGCAGAGCGCTGCAAAGCAGTGCCTCTTGCCCTGCGAGTCCGGCAACCTTCAGGTGCGTGCTACAGCGACAAAACGTAGTAGGCACGTGGAGTCTTACTTTGAACCCATACGCCAAGACATTTTCCCTCAGCAGCACTAGCACAAGTGTTTTGATTTGAGAGAGCATTGCATTTAGGACGTACCGCATTTCAATTCGCTGGGCCGGCCCTTTGCCATGTTTGGCACAGGGCAACAAAGCGACCCATGAAGCAATGAGCTTACTTGCAACGACCGAGTCTCCAGCTAGTCCACCCTGTCGTAAGTTTGGACTGAGGCTCTACTTGCTGCTTCCTTTCGCCTTTGCACATGGCCCGCCGAAGGCTACAGTACTTCGGTTACTTTGGGGCTTGAGGAATTCTTGTCGGAGTGAGAGGGGGGGGGGGCGGTGCTGCTATTGCTGACGCTGTTCTGAAAGATTGACCACGCGCCCTTCCTCTTTGTGCGAATCCTCAACCACATCCAGCTCAGGAAGTCCTTCATCCATTGGGGCCTGGCTGGATCCGTAAGGAGTCCTTGCAGAAGCTTCCTGCCCATGCCTCACTGGTTTTGAGTCGCAGGGGTTTTGGAGTTGTGAATGTCAAGGTTCAGTGCGTTGCTGGGCTCCTGTAGGTATCAATATCTCCCCGCGGTGAAGCTGCCATTCATCTGCTCAATGGCACTGCGATTGCAGCGATCACTGCATCAGTTGCTGCTTGGCAGCAGGGCCACCGAGTTGGATTGCACTCGAGCATGACATCAGAAAAGGCAGCTGCCAGTGTACGCATCCGAGGACGACTGGACCCGCGTCCGGCACGTACTCTCTGGAAATGATACGCAAAGGCATCCGAGGCCAGGCTACCAATTTTGCACGGCCTTTGTCGTCCTTTCCTTGCCTGTACTTGTAGTCTGGAGCGGAATGATGATCACAGAACTCTTCACATTGACACAATTCCTTGTACTTCCCCCAGCAGCTCGTTGAAGCCCGAGCTGAGCTGCCCCAGGGCAACTTTGGCGGAGCTGGGGACCACTTTATCCCGGTCAGGTATGGCGGATATCTCAGGTGCAGTTTGATTATTTTTGATCCATGCTTCAGGCTTGCCACGCAACGGAACTTGGAGATGAATATGCCATGTCAGGGACGACACTGTTCATCTGGCTGGGAGCTGTGCTCGCGCTCGGCCTCATCGTGGGGGTTGGCATTCCCTTTGGAGCGACCTGACGCACACAGAGTTTACACGATCCAAGAGCCTGACTGACAAAGCTATTTCTGGTTAAAGTTACCAGGTGAGTTACTACTACGAGGAGGTGGCCGCAGCTCCGTTTTGGCTAAGCTTCTTGTCTTCACTGGAATAATCATCGGATATCCATCATGTGGGCAGGTGCTTTCTTTTCAGATGTAACTATGTGAACTTCAAGACTTAAAGTTCAGACCTTGTGGTTGCTGTGCTCCAGACCTACCTGACCTTCGACGAACGAGAAATCAGGACTTCCTGCTGGCATTCAGAATCCGCTAACGCGTCCAATGGGACAGACATCAAAGTCTCCAGGAAACAGACACGCCGCCCCAACGGCCCCAGCGCAGCGAGAGCCCAGAGGAGCCGTGTGCACTTTCTTTCTCCCCTCGTCTGCCTGGCGTACGTATGACACATCGCAGTACACGCCTATGTTCATGTACAAAGGTACGCTTCTTGATTGTACCCAACTGTTCCGCCGTCCTTAAGTGCAGGTGTTCGTGGTCAGGGGGAGTATGTGCTGGGATTTCTTGCAGTGCGTAGCTGCTGGGTAGATCTGGGTAGTATTTTAATCGACGTCAGCCGCCCCGTCCACGTTCCACCTAGCTGTTTTGGCGAGCCGGGGCAGAGGTCTGGCATGAGAATGCTCATTTTTGCCAGGCCCGCAGGGGTTCGTCGCGACGGAGACCGTCGCGGCGGCGTGAACGAGAGGCGAGGAGAAAACCTCGTGTCGTGAGACTGGTAGGTTTTAGATTCATCCAACTTCCGTGCCCAAGAAGACTTGCAGGAGCCTATGTGCATGCTAAGGTTAACCAGTGCCGGGTCAGCAAAACGTAACATGTGCTTCGGCGACAGGACAAGGTTGTTGTGTTGTGCTATGGTTCATCCAAAACTAGGCTCCATACCACCTTGAACTGGACTGTTCCTCGCAGGTTAAGCCGCCCATGAACGTCTCCAGCAGTACCGACGACACCGGTCCCGACTTCTCTGCTGAAGATCGGACCGTACTTCATGGGCCCGGCAAAGTCGACAAGGCAGACACGACTGCATAAAGTCATAGGAAAATGTCCGGAACGTCACTTGTATTCTGAGCCATGGCCAGTCAGCTGAACATGCACACAGCACCGAGCGCATTCGAGCCCACACGTCATGGGTCGCTTCGTTTTGGCGCATGCGAGCTCCCGCAGGCATCCCTGTGCTTCGCGCAGCTGCCCAAGACGCCACAAGAGCATGTGGCAACTTCAAAACAGATCCAAAGCTAAATGGTGACTGCAGATTCCAAATTGTGGTATCTTTTTGGGGGCTTGCTTTGGCCGTCTGCATGGCGCCCATGTGCAGTTCGCGAGAGTTGCCGCTTAGCAAGAACAGAATCCACAAGCAGAGGATGTCCTCCGACGAGTCCGACCACTCTGCAAAGGGTCTGCGAATGCAGGCAGAGCTTTTGGCAGACAAGACAGGACTGACCTTTGGACTACAATGTTCTTGCTCCAAGAAGATCTGAGATGTGTCTGGCACGGTCCCAGTGTCTGAACTTGAACTAACTGTCACGTGAAAAAGAGGCAACGGGTGGGTGTTGCACCTCAAAGACTCACCCTGCGCGTGCAAGATGCGCTCACCTCCCCCCATTCACTGCTATTGATGAGGGAGTATTGGACTGGCGTGCTCATCGACTGATCCTCTCCAGGGGCTGGTAGCGAGGGTGAGACGCAGGCAGAGACCTCCGGTGAAGATTTTGGACCGGTGTCTTGGAGAGCGGCTGAGCCCGGGGGTCTTCGCGTGCACCACGTGGAAGCGGGCGGAAAATTACTGGCACTCGGCGCACTTGCCCCCCATGAGTTTAGGGGTGGCCTGCAAGCGAATTGACTCGAGGCCCGAAGCTTTTTGAGGGGTCTGAGGGTGCGCATGAATCCGCAACGCCGACCCTGGGTCGTGTGTTGGCCCAAAACTTTTGTCGGCCACAGCGCATTTGAATATTAGTACCCTCGTGTTACAACTGCTCAGATGCCCGGTGGAAGGGAATAAATTGTGTTTCTCCCGGATGTGTTTGGAGCTAGCGACTTCTTGCACCAGCGCAAGTCTTGGCTCGGCCCGCAAGGACAAAGGCATAGGCTCTCCACCGAGAGCCGGGGCCTTACCACCCGCAGCGCTCTTGATGGACCCCGCATAACATGTGAAAGCCCAGGCACCACGGCCGAGGAATCCACCTCGTCGATATCGAGTATCCTGCGAGTGAAGGACGAAGTTCCTCGTGACAGTCTTCGACAAAGCCAGTCACGTCCTTAGCCGCTGACATTCCTGAATTCCGGTGCACGGCAGTGCCCAACCTCACTGTCGACCTCAACCTGCCCCCGCAGCTGCTAGAAACCCTGAAATGTCACCTCCTTCACATTCGACCTTACGATACTTCCCATAGCACAATTTCTGCTTGGAGCCTAGCCCGGGGAAATGGTTTTTGAAAGGAAGCTGCTAAAGCGCACGAAAGAACGACCCCAACGCGGGAGGAAAGGAGGGAGGAGCCCCCGCTCAGATCGGCCTGGAAGCTGAAAAGAAAGCTCCTGCTTCAAAGATCCCCCCGAAAAAGGAGGAGACCTCGAGTGTGATGGAAGAGAGTAATCTTAGAGGCAGCTCGTAAGAGTAAAGAGTGACTCCTGAAGAGTGCCATCCTGTCCTGCTCGCTACTGCACATTCTCGCTTTGCAGCATCACACTCAGGGTTTGCAGGAGCTTGACGTTCTCAGGCGCTGCTGAATGAGTGGCATGAGTACGGCAGCTCATGCTCACAAGGTCTCGCAGTCAATCGCCTTGTCAGTGTAAGAAATCCTTCCCACGTCTCTCATATGGGTCATGCACCGACGACTCAAACCGGTTCCGATGGCTTCGTACCGTCAAAAGCAGTCTTCACAGGTCCAAACCCTGCAGCCTAACTGCGAAATCGCGGCATCCTTGAACTTAAGTGCTTGATCCTTCTGCTATATCGATGCT